ATAATGACTAACTATTATATAACTAAATAATTATATTAATCCTTACTATTTGAAATTCGACCCCTTTTTAGTCATTCCGCTAAATTTTGACTGATATGGTATGTTAACTAACGGAAAAACTTATTTTTTTCTTTATTTTAATTATGTGAAAAATCCACCTTGTACAACTTGATGACATGGCCAAATATTTTTGTCTAATTTAACCTTAAAAATCATTTAATTACATAATTGCCATTATAAATATTTTAAAGATTATTTTATGATTAAAAATACTTACTTTTAATTACTTATTTGCCCACATCTTTTAGCCTCTTTTTTTTTTCCCTTTCAAATCTCACCAGGATCTTTGCGAACCCAATGTTAGGTTCGCGCTTGGTTCGCCTAGGTTCGTGATGGGAAACCCAGCACTTGGGTTCGCGTGGGTTCGTGACGCGAACCAAACGCCTGGGTTCGCATGGGTTTGTGATGCTAACCCAATGCCTGGGTTTGCATCACGAACCCAGTGCTTGGGTCCACGTCACGAACCCAGCGCCTAGGTTCGCGTGGGTTCATGATGCGAACCCAACACCTAGGTTCGCGTAGGTTCGTGATGCTAACCCAACACTTGGGTTCGCAAAACGAACCCAAGATCTAGGCTAGGTTCGTGATGAACCCCAGATCTAGGCTACGTTCGTGACAAACCCAGCTCCTGGTTTCATTTACTAATTATGTTTGAATGCTAGGACTTTATATTTCGTATTCCATTTTTCATTTTCACTGTCTCTGAACAAGAATGATGTGGATTTAGCTTTTGAATTTCATTTGATGAGTAGATCGTTCTTAGGAATGATTTTGAGTATTATAGTTGGAGATTCGGATCTCTTCTGTTATGTATCTTGTTTTTTATATTAGATTTTAGCTTGTATCTACTGATTCCAAGTATAAAATATTTTGATTTCACGTTTGAATTTTGACTATTGATTTGATCATTCAAAGAATTGGATCATCGTGACAAATCTAAGTTCGTAACGAACCTAACGGCATAAGACAGAAGGGGGAAGAAGATGAGGCAAGAGAGGATAAGACAGAAGTGGGAAGAAGATGGGGGCAAATAAGTAATTAAAGTTAAGTATTTTTAATTATAGAATAATCTTTAAAATATTTATAATGGAATTATGTAATTAAATAATTTTCAAGGTTAAATTAGGCAAAAAAATTTGGCCATGTCATCAAGTTGTACCAAGTGGATTTTCCACATAATTAAAATAAAGAAAAAAATAAGTTTTTCCGTTAGTTAGCCTGCCACATCAGCCAAAATTTAACGGAAGGACTAAAAAAGGGTCGGATTTCAAACAGTAAGGATCAAAAAAGGAATTTTTTCGATACAGGGACTAAAAATGGGTTTTTTTCTATAGTAAAGAGACCAAAAAGGGTATTTAACCTTTACATTTTACCATACCACACTTCTATTACGTTTTTTTTTTCTTTTGTTAACTTTCGTTAATTTCGTACTCCGTTAGTTACCATTACACTCTCACCGTGCCAGTTCCCACCCTCTTCTCCTTAAATTATGATACTTTTAACCCCTCACCTATTAAAATTGAAGAAAATAATTTTTATTTTATAACATTTTGTTAGTTCTATTAACCGATTATTAGTTGATAAAAACCTTTTTTCAGCTAACAAAGCTAATAGAACTAATTTTGTAATATTTCATTAATTTTGTTAACGGATTATTAATTGATTGTTAGTTGACAAAAATCTACTTTTACCTAATAAAGTTAACAATCAGTATAAAATGAGAGCTATTTTTTTCAATTTTAATAAGTAAGGTAGCAAAACCTATAAATCTAATAAGTAAGGTGAGAGGTTCAAAATATCATAATATAAGGTAAGAAATTAAAATTTTTATATTTGATAAGGTAAAGAGTTTAAAGTAGGTATTTACCCATTCGTCGGGAAAATGTGTATACGGGCTCCATCGGGGAAAATGATGTGGCCTAATATTTGACTATCTTTTTGTTGTGAAGACTAAAGATGAAGTCCTTGTTCTGTTTGTTAGGGTATTCATCGCCGGCTGGGGATCTAAAAGGTGATAACATAAAAGTCTTCTATAAGAAAATTTCTTACAGGAAAGTAAGTTGAAGCCACACAAGGATATATGATGCGGAGGAGGTCACGTTAGTTGTATCTAGATTTACATGTGTAGTAAAATAAAATATTGTAAATTATAATTGTTCAAAAAAAAAATATTGTAAATTATAAGAACACTCCAAAAGATATACAATCGGTTTACATCATCGACTTTTGTAAATATAAAAAGAAGACTGGGAAAAATAGACAGCTTTTGTGACGTCTCGGTATTGACTCAAGAAACTAATTAGGTAACCATTAAATTAGACCCAAGGTTGGCTTCAACATATATATATCTATATAAATTAATCAAGTTTAAAAAAATTATTTTATCTTGAGTTAAAATTTAATTATGTGTTTAGCTTGAGAAAAATTAATAAAATAAGAGAGGAGGGAAATGAAGGAATTAAAATTAAAAAAAAATAAAGTAAACAATTCCACCCTCTTCCGCTTCCCTTCCTTTCAAATTTTTTTATTAATAAAATGAATAAATTTTCAATGCTCCCCTCCCATTCTCTCAAATTAACATATTGTAAAACCTTTTTTAATATGTAATGATAATTATTTTT